TCTGTAAGGCATTCTTTGTTCGCTTCTCTGGCTTCTGTTTATCCCTGCGTTCTTTCTTCGTTTCAAGGTAATGCTGCGGGTAAGGGCTTACCGCCAATGACATGCCCATGTTAAAATAAGGCCTTCTTGAAGCGAAAGGGTAAGCGATTCCTATCGCCTAGCTCGTTTCCACTTTCGTTTCTGTGGTAATCGTGTTTTTTGCTGGGATCGTACACTGGCCAAACTACCTAAGAGCCTTAATTTCGAACTCGCGCACAAGTGCACCGCTAGGCCAAAAAGATTAATGTAATATTTTTTCGAGGCAGTCTGCGGATATATCTATTTTGAAAGAAGATATACATTAGATGACTTATTTTGCTAAAGTATTTCAGATCCTTCCTCCGGCAGCAGAATATGAAAATAGGACGCTAAAGACCTAACAAAATGGAAAAAAAAATTCATTATTGCAAAAACTGAATGATCTACTCCGAGAACCGCGATTTATAAGACTGTGTTGCTATAACTTTAGATCCTTATATGAAAAAACATTTATCTTACACAAGAAAAATAAACCCAATGTCATGAAGAAGCTGAAGCGAATGGCGTACTCAGTTTTTTAATACAACTAACTAAAAAGTTACCCAATTGTGACAATTTGGTACTATTACTCACGAATGTTCAAATTTATTCGTTAGGATTTACCAGATAGTAGTAACTTTTCCAAAACTAAAATATTTAAAATTGTAGCTAATTTAATGTAGTTTTTAAAAAGTGAACAGATTTTAGATCGAATTATATTTGAACTGGTAAATTAGGCTTAAGTGAAGCCATGTTGAAAACCACTTTCAAACTTGACAAACATCGTCAAAAATTTAAAAGCCGAAGCAGGAGTGGATAAAAATGTCGTATTGTAGAATACTGTAATCTATATTTACGACTGATAATAACATTATTATCTTACATAACCAAAAAAATAGACAATATTGATGCAAGTGATAATGGAGAAAACGACAAAGACTAGTAGTTACTTCCTAATTGGTAAGTTTCATTAATTTAATACATATAAAGAAAAGTGGACTTAATTTTAACTACAGAGAAAACACCGCGCAATTTCTCGAAATCAACGTTACCTACTCGGGAGCACGTTCTGCGTCGGCTAATTCACTTTCGTTTAGAAGACAATTTAACACTGAATGAAAGTATTTTTCGCGTCGTCGGTGAATTGGTAAATATTTGTTCGTATTTAGGCGTCATCAGCGTTGCCATT